AAGGCGAGGCCTGGTGAGGCAAAGCAAAGCGAAGCGAGGGCGAGGAGGTGAGATGAGGTGAGGCGAAGCGAGATGCATCTCACGGCGCGGCGGTGTAGCGTCGGAAGGAAATGGAATACGTACCTCTGCGATTGAATGGCCGGACCCGTACGGCAACCTTTATTTTATCCGTAGCCATGGCTTTTGCACACCGGTAACGTGCGCACCTCGTATCATACGATCGCGGAGAACCGTTCGGCGTAGTTACGTGCACGTGAATACGTCAACCCTCGCACGAATTCACACGTATCGCTACATTATTCTCAACCCATACCGTGAGCGTGTCATCTTTCAAAACGACACTACGTCTACACTGAACCCCCCTTGACACACTTCGCCATATTGCTGAAAATTCGTGCACCAGACAACGACAGCTGTCCTTATCGTGGCTATCGAGTGAGAATGGTTCTGGGAATCGCCGTCAGGAACGCTCGCGGTTCGATAAGCAGACGACGTCACAACGCTACCGCGTAAAAGTTGCGAACGATCCTGCACGTCATTAGTTGATACGCAGCCGTCCAGCCGCAGTCCAATCGCTCTGCGGTGAAATGGACGCGACGAACGCGAGTTACGCGTGGCGGAAGTCGGTACGGCGGCCAACCACTTTCTCGCTCTTTTGGAACTAGCGGGAGATGATTGGCCGCCGTACCGATTTCCTCCACGAATCAGCGCGTCCTGCGTGCAGAAGCCTTAAAACTTTGGATTTAGTGCTACCAACATCGAAAAAAATTCGTCTTTATATCTCTAGTATTTCGTAACTATTGGAAGTCGTGCTTTTGATATATTGTGAATTAAAAATTGACAGTTCTTAAACATCTTTCAGCTTGCTGAACCTTCTCGTATCACAGGAATTGATATTAGCAATTATTAATTGCCAATCGAGTTGCATTGAATTTAATTGAAACAATTATACGTTAGCCATGAAAATATATTTTTCTTACGCACATGTCAGCGTATTTACAGCTGATTCATGTTCAGATATGCAACACAGGTTGTGTTAGGTATGTGTATAAATAAGTTTGGCGGTATTTTGTCTACCTTGAATTTACAAATTTGTAAATTTTCAGTGATTAGCATGTCAATAACATAAACGCAAAAATTAATGAAGAAGTTTTAAGACATTGACAAGATACAATTACGAAAATGATTGTGAAATTGGAAAAGATAATCAGTTGTTCCTCGGAACATCCAATGTATCCTGCTACGAATCTTCTGCAATGTAATTCAGAAAATTGGAAGGCCACATGGCGATGTGCCAAACCGGGAGAAATGCTGGCTCATGTAATCTTTCAGCTTGCTGAACCTTCTTATGTCACAGGAGTTGACATTGGTAATTATCAAAGTTGTGTAGTAATTGTTACTGGATCTACATCATCTGAACCTGACAATTGGATGGTTATAGTGAACTATAAGTTTATGACAAATGATGAAGCTGCGAACAATAAGTTTAAGGACCAAGTACAATTATTTACCAGAAGAGAATTAAATCCAGACACTTTAAAAATTAAATTTGATCGAATAAAAGTCACTTGTATGCAGTCGGCAAATTTAAAAGTATTGTTTGGACTGTCATACATAATTTTGAGGTCAGACTCTACAGTTGATTTAGGCTTAGATGTATTTGGTAAGTTTAAATTGAAACAACCACATATTTTGAAAACACCTTTGGAAATGATGAAGGAAAAGATTCTTGATAAAGCAAAAAATAAAAAGACGGATTATAAGGAAGAATTATGTAAACAAATAAAAAAGGATTCAATGGAAAATTTTATTAAAAGTCAAGAGGAACAGAAACCAATGAAGAGACCTTTATTAGAAAAGTTAGAAGCTGGAAAAGTTGATGAAGTTTTTAGAAAAAATGATAACGACAAAACACTTGGTAAAAGTCCTGAAAATGTGAAAAATACATCAATTGGAACAACAGTTGCCAGAACTCCTTTTGGAGATATTGTGCCATCAATAAATACTGATACTAATAAAAATGATACAAAAAACTCAATTCATAGCCCGTCAAATTCTAAGAAACGGTCTTTAAGCAAATTAGAAGATTCATCAAATGCAAACGTTAGTGAAAAGAAAAGACAAAAATGCTCTAAATGCATGGAGAGTTCGCAGGATCAATTGTGTAAAACTTGTCAACGATTACCACCGCCTACAAACATTGAAAATACTACGAAAACAAATAATATTGTAAAACCTAAAAAATCATTTAAAGAATTGCTTAATAATGTTACATTTTCTCTCAGTGGCTATGTTAATCCACAGAGGGATGAAATTAGGAGAAAAGCTCTTAATATGGGTGCTCGATATATACCTGATCCCAATACAACTAATAAAAAATGCACTCATTTGATTTGTGCTTTCAAAAATACACCAAAATATCAACAATTTAAGAATCATACCAAAATTGTCTCACACACCTTTATTGAAGAGTGTTTTGATAAAAAGACGAGGTAAAAAATATTGCATTACAACTTCTGTAGAGTTATAAGAAAATTTACAGATTATTTTACAGATTTCCTTGGCGACGGTATGCTTTAGATCAAAAGGATAAACTTCAACCTGAAAGCGAAGAAGAAATTGTTGGCAGTGAATTGGAATCTGCATATGACTCAGACACTGATGCCGAATATTGATGATTGAATACGTTTAAATTAATCCTGTATCTTTTGATTATATATTGATAATTGTATTTAAAATAAAAAAAAAATATATTTTTTCATGCGTGCATGCACAAAAACACACATATATTTTTAATTAATAGGAAAAATCCTATTCCAATTAATTTGAATTCAACTTTCTCCAACTACGAATCAAATTCCACTGACTGTGCATTACGGCTCGCCGGAAGTGTTGGCGATACACGCGTTTTTGGATCTGCAGTCTTTCCGCCTCGACACTTCCTTCCAACTGGTGAGCACCAGAGGATTGCATTTGCTCGTGTAAAAGGATTCGCGAGATTTATTGCCGCTACGGTTCTTGCACAATCTACCGGATGACGCAAAATTTTCGACTTTACGTAAAGACGCCTTCGATGCGTTGCCGGATACTTTCCCTCTCTTCGTTATCAGATAATTACGAAGTAACACGCCGCTGCATTTCGGCGAGAGTTCGAGAGCACCTTTCGGGAAAGTTTTATTAGTTTCTACGCGTCGCTTTTTCATGTTTCTATTCCCTGCAAAGAAATATATATCGACGTTTGGGTTGTTTATTACAAATTTATATTACTAAATGATAATTTGTGTTATTATTTCTGTTTTTATTTTAAGTAGATTAAAGACAATTCCATTAGCTGCAATATGCATTACCGTGCGTTTCCTCTTTGACAATTTCATTTTCAGCAAAATTTTTATCGAAGGCAATTTCTGATGATTGATTCTTCTCTATATCGTCACAAAATCTTAATTTTAAGCAGGGATTTCCTATTTTATCTGTATACTGCGATGCCATCACATGGTTCGAAGCTACATGCTGCAATAAAAATTGAGAAAATTTATAATAATTTTAAAACTGTTACATTTGTTTCACTGTTAATTTCTCTACCAATTTCTGAAAGATTTGATCCTCTTTTTTGCATCTTGATGCCAGACTATTTAAAATATCCTTGGTATACACATTTATCTTTTTAGTAATACTTGACAACTCATTATATTCAAGTTTAAGTTGTTTGACGAGGTAACTTTCAATTTCTGAAATCGGTATATTATGATCGATCATATTTTTGCTTAAAAGATTGCAAGACACTCCCACGTCCTTGATCAAGACGGCATCGGTTCTGTTACTTCTGTAACAAGTTAATTCTCCGTTTAACTCTTCAATGACAAATTTATTAAAAGGTCAGTAAAATAAAATAAAGAAAGCAAAAGTAATATACTAAATTAATCATTTCAAAACCATCAGTTCTAGCAAGAATAAAATGTCTTAATTAAGCGTTTTTAAAAATTGAGAAATAAGATTTTATCGTTATTTCCACGTTTTGTATCAAATCTCCACGTTTATAATTAAATAAATTATACCTGTAGTAGGGAAATTCACAATAATCGACTTCACGTTCAATATTATTCATTCTTTGTAAAGATTTATTCTGAATTACTGCAAATTTTATCGCATACGCTGTCCTTTACTTTTGTCGGATTTAACGGTATCATCGAAGTATATCGAGTAGTTAAATTTTTATGTTGTTGCGAGAGAAAAACGTGCTTGGAACCTTCTGTACCGGAAATTGCCGAGTATTTCCTTCTCGCCGACATAATTCCAGTAGATGCATCGCCCGCTTCCGGAGAAGCGTTAATTGCGCACATCTCGAGAGAAAAATTTTATTAATTAGGCGCGCACAGAATCATACTTAAAATAATATACATTTATTACATTTATATATCGCATTTTGTATTAACCACAATTACCTAAAAAATTTGCGCAAAAGTGAGTGTAGCGTCGCAACATGGGAAGCACATCGGGAAGACAAGATTGTTTATTCATCGAGTAAACGACTGATAGGATTTATTAATTTATAAATTTATCGATTGTATGTAATTACCGAGATTCTAAACTTTCTTCGGCCCACCGAAAAACATAAACAGGTACCATATTTTTGTCTCGGCTGTGCCTCAGATGCATCCATCACATCGTATTAAAATCGTGGTATTACCGATTAATTTTAGAAAACGAGGAAATTAAATATTTTCTTTTTTGATTTAGAAACAGGGTTAAATTTGTCTTTCGAAAAATCGATCGAGAGTAATTTTCAGCCGTGATCTATGAGCAACTTCGTTGTCTCTATATTCAAAGATTCGAAAATTCGTTCTTGCGACTTTTCCATTATCTTGAAATCTTTTTTTAAATTTTTATTAAAAAATTACATATGTTACATAAAAATAATTATATATATTATATAAAAAAATTAAATTAAATCATATTTGAGTATTAATTAAAGTTTGAGTGTCAATGATGAAAGAGATATCTTTGGAGACCCAAAAATATGTTTCACGTAAAGGAATGTTAAAATAAATTATATTAAAGTTTGAGAGGTCTCTTATGGTCCCTAGTAATCAAGACTTGTTAATTTCAGGATGGATTTAATTAAATTTAATTAAATTATTTATAAATAAGGAATTCTACGCCACTGACGGCTTATTTTCACCGGCCGACAACCACACGACGGCGATAGCGGCGCTACCAGATCGATGTCTTCGTAGCTTTCAGCACCCGAGGCATTAAATCTTCTATTTCATACATAAATTAATTTGTAAAACGGATAATTGACTGTATTTTGACAATAAAAAAATAAAATTGCTATGTGGAATAATTATATCAATTCCATCAAGTCTATGTAAAAAACAGAAGGTTTTTCTTTGTTGCGGCTCTGTTTTTCGACAGTTGTCCTTCTTGAATTGTTCCGTAAAGTCTTCACGCTTTCTAAACCCCAATATAACGATAGTAATAATAGCAAAGAATACCTGAATACAGTCTAATTTTTATTTCAATCCTTTTTCTCTCTGTTTGCGATTTTTTTCAAGGTTCTATAAGTATCTAACAAAATTCTCACATTGTAGAATCTACGGGCCCACAAGGCCCATTTCATATACATCACTGTGCCAGCAGTCGGAGAACGGGTTGTAACATTGCGGACCCGCAGTCGTCGGCGTTCCGTTCGCCAGCCGTCATCGGATCTACTCTTCTATCGGTCCCTTTGCCATCTCGCTCAAGGATGTGCATCTCAGTGTAAAAATTCGTCAACCACAGAATCGAAATATACCTGTGTCGTGCGTCGGACTCCTCTCGAAGGAATTATTTTTGCCGCGGCGATCGGGGTCCGGTGATAGCGGTCCCCGAAACCGCGATGTCTTTACACACCGCGGTGGTCACGAATCTGACTTGAGAGCGTGAAGAAAATCGATTATCGGTTGTTTTATTACCAGTGTTCTAAAAAATGGATTGCTGCTTGATAAAAATATTAATCTCTTAATAATAATAACTGGATCGGTTAATTAGCAAAATATTAAAATACTGTTATTTATTAATATTGTTATTATTATTTATTATTTGCGAATCGGGAGAAAATTACCGCTAGTCGTCATCGCGAATCTCGGGAGAGGTTATATACGGTGTGTGCGCAATGTCGAGAATTCGAGTGACATTCTCGCATCTCCGATTTCTGAATTCATCCCTTCGCTTCTGACGATCGATTGGAGGATCGAATTGAAACAGAAATACGAGAATAAATATTAAATCGACACCGAGGAATGCGTGAAAGCTCGCTGGATCAGTGAAAGCGCAGTGGTATATATCGCAGAAGCTGAGGAGTAGAAAAGATGCGAAGAGAGGAACCGAAGCTCGACGGGGAAAACATTAACAATGATGAGCGTCGCATTTGTAGTTGAAAAACAATCACCAACACCATCAACATCATACTGAATAATCTGTTTCTGTGCGTCGATATTGAACTGAATATCTTCAGATTACTCGTGTCTAATTATTGATAAATATTGATTTTATTTGAGGCACGGAGAGATTGACTGGATGGTGTATTTAAGATTAATGAAGTGTGTAAATACTGAGTGACCTGTGAGATCGCGAGTCGATGCGGACCGGATGAGATGTGTCGAATGGAGTAACGCTGGGATTTCTCGCAGATCATCGTCATCGTGGATCATCGATGTAGCGCGATGTCGACTTGGTGGTCTGTCGTGGCGATGGCGCTGTGCCTTTGGATGAGCGCTGGTGAGTTTAATATAATATATAAAATATATGGATGTAAAAAATGGTAATTTGAAACACGCGCGATAAGTATAAATATTTATAGAGTACAATACATGCATATGATCTCAGTTCGAGAATTCGGAAATCTTAAAATTCTGAAAGATTTATAAAATCGATAAGAATGAATAAAACAATAAGAATGAAGGAAATTCGCATTAATTGCGAAATCCAGAGATTCCTCAGAGTATTTACGGGCATTCCGTGGAGTGGAAGATATTTCATTGTGCAAAACCTCATCTATATTTATTAAATTCACATCTTTCTAAATAAAACGATTTCCGGCTACGATTTCTAATCTATCTTTCCGCAACAAGTAAACATCTTTACGATATTCATGATAATTGCAGATCAGATAATTCTAAGATTACTTTTAATTACTTACTTTTATCTCTACATCGAAAATAATTATTAACGTCCGCATGACATGTTTTCAAAAAAATGAAAAAGAATATCTGAGATGAGTTCTTCTTTTATGTATGTAGAGAAAGCGGCGCGTATTCAGATATGTGTATTAAAGCAACCATTGCCATATCATTAATATTATCGGAACATGCAACGCATTTTTTTGTTTTTTGTTTTATTTGGAAGATGATTTTGTTATTCGCGCAAAACAGCAATATTCTTGCGCGATTGCAGATACGAAATCACAGCATTACGTTCGACGCCGCAGATCTTGCATACGCCAACGATTCCTTTCTCTCTTCAGCTCAACTATGCTATAATAGTTACCTTGCTGTGTAATAAAATATCTTTTGTGTAGTAACAGTTTTGCCTGATCGATTTCATACAGTAACTTTATTCCTTTTGAGATTAGCTTTTCGCATAAGAAAATCGCAGATAACTTTTGATATTCGAAATTGATATATTTTTTAATAGTCTTTAAATATCTGCGATTCTTTTCGATAATTAAATAATTGATAATTGAATCAAAATAAATTGAACGTGACAGAAATGCATTTAAATTATACATTAGTACATATCACATCTTTTATTGATTCTGCACACGTTTGATATGATTAATTCTTCGTAGAATAATTAACTGTACATATAGCCAGGAAATACGTGGTTTTGCTAATAATTGTGGTTGCTTCGCTGCGAGCTTTTTATTCACGCTGAAAGCGTTATTCAGCTATCTTTTTCGTACTTAACATTTTACAAATTTATGTTTTAAATTATAAAAAAACTCTTCTTGTTTTAATTTTAGTTTTAATCATTTTATCAAGATATTTCAAGTTTTAAAATTTTCTCATAATTTGAAAAATATTATATTTTATAATATTCTTCTAATATAAATTTTTGAAATTGAACTAGAAAATTTCAATCTTCTTTCGATATTCTATAAACACAAATACTTGTCTTTTTTAATGTCAAAATTGACAAATTGCAGCCTATCACATGCGCAAATTCCAGCATGCCAATAATTCAGTGAGCATACGATTGCTGGATTATTAGAATTTCTCGAATTACATAGTTTGAATGTTTGAATATTATTGAAACGATTGAATATATTCTAGAAATCGGTAGAAATAACAGCACATTGTGCTGCACGCACAGTAGCTACCGGAAAAATAAAAGCGGACAGTCTACGCATGCCAAGAATGCTTTGATCTCATAAACCCTCTCTCTGCATTCCTGCTGCTTGATACGGTACAATAGATTCCTGTGTGTTTTTTCCAACCGCAAAATGATTCCAAGATTCCACTTCTACTTGAAAAGAAACTCAATTTTTATTAATTTCTCCAAACAAATACAGTTGTTGCAAACATAACATGTTTCCTTCGCACTGTCAATACTTATTCATACATCGAAAAGAATGAGAGGCGGAAAGATAAATAAAGTCTTTTTGCGAAAGTCGCGAAGGTGTCGTAAAAGAGTAAAACGGTACTCGAGGAAGGCCGAGGGAAATACGCGCAAATGACGAGGACAAACTTTATTCGCAGCACGGTAAAGCAGCGAACACGATCACATACTCACGCGACGCAGGTATTAATGCATTGCACCTGGCGGTCGTACAACCACGCCGCAGACACTCGACAAAAAACCAGCGGTTAGACTCTACAATGAGAGTCCGCCTCGGCTTGATCCTTTTCAAAGGCGAGAATAATGTTTGCATTCAAAACACCGTTTCGAAAAATAATATAGATGATTACACAGTAATTATCATTCAGTTGATAATTCTTTTTAAAATAAACAAGTCAATACGGCACAAATATTTCTTTGAAATTAAAAATTAAAAAATTGCTCGGCGAAAGGTACGGCATATTCATTATTGGACTCTTGTGCGTATAATCTAAGTTATTTTTTTTTTATAACAAATTAAACTATTAAATTAGAGTTCGAAATAAAAACGCTATTATTTTTAATCAAGAGAGATGGGAAATGCGAAGAGTCCTTTAAAATTTTATCAGTGTGGAATTTTGCGAGTTAACAACATCCAAGTACAGAGACAGTTGTATAAACCGGGTCACCAGACACCGAGCAAGAACCCATACCCAACCTTCACTGACACCAAGACTCGTCGACCATGTCAACGAAATGCGTTTCTACTGACTTGTAGAATTCCTCGCAATAGCACGGACTTCGTGCCATCTTCTTTGCACTAGAGACGTATGATTTATTGGTTACGTTGCATTTACTCGCGTTGCAAGTTATTTAGATTTTTCTCAATTTTCTGGTTTCCGCGAAACAGGTTTTAAAAAAAGTTTAATTAAGTTCTACAAAGTAGTATAAATATGCACTTGAAGCAGTAACCTGAGAAAGGAAGAGAGAGAATCCAATAATGAATAAATAAAGATACGTTCAAAAATAATGTATACACATTACGAAAATAAAATAAACCAGTCGAAAAGTAAAATTTATTTAAATGAAGCGTTTGCATCAAGAATTTATTTTTCTATGTCATAATGTATTTTTTAATTGTTATTATAACATTTACTAATTTTTTATTAGCAATGATGGAGCAATTTGGTCTTTAATTTTTATGACGAAATTTTTCTCGCGCATAGGCAATTTAAACGCAGTAAATAAGCTCATCAGCATAGCGGTTGCAAAGGCGGCGATTGTTATTACAGCGTGATAATAGATTTGCTTATGAACAAGTATTCTTCTCACCAGACAAGAATCGCTCCCAACCAGTTCTAAGCAACTCTTCGGCGCTTTTGCGGACTATTTACTGCACTCGTTTATGTTGCAAATGCGCTTTCCCCACGACATTACATTAGGCAGAAACTTCCGGCGTCGTAAGTGATGAGTGTTATAAACTGTAGCTTCATTGTCACGATTATCTTAAAAATCTTTGCAAGATGTTTCGTTAATCGTGTTCTTCCTCTTTGATTAGATCTCCACAATTAATAATTTAAAATCTATTTTTTTATGTCATAACTCAGCTATTATTATGTAGCTATCAAACATTACAAGTGAAATTTTGGCTAATAGAAGGACCTAGCATTCACGAAAGATGTCATTAAGATGAATGCTACCTGCTGTAAATATAAAGTATTTATTTATTAAATTATGTCTATATGTAAATTTAAAAATTTCTTAAAATTAAATGAGAAAATTGCTAAATTTTTTATACGAATTGTTCTATCAAATCTGACGTATTAAACATATTATTAATTTCACATATGTATGATTGCATACAATAACTTGTACAAACAAATCGTATATTACTGACAATGAGAAAGATTTATATAACTCGTCAGTTGTTATTTTTAGTTGTAACATAGATAAGATTGTCGCAATTAAACATGCGATCAGTAAAACAAACATTAGCTCTGAGGATTTTATATAAAATCCTGACAAAAAAAGCAATACATTTAAATAAAATAAAAGTAGGACAGATTAATGTTTTATATAGCTTTTTTCAATATCAATTATTTTTTTACGCCACCCACATAAAAGTTTGAATAAAAATCAGTTTTTATTTTTAATTAAACCAATTTTCAATTTTTCTACTTCTATTCAGAGAAAATAAATTGGGAACATTTAATCCGGAGTTAAAGAGTCGTTTTCCTCTTAAGATCAAGTGGTATTCAATGTCCTATTTCGTGGTAATTCTGGAAGCGGATCTTGAGCCTTCTCGAGAATATTACGTAAAGATCGTTAAGACATGATCGCGCTTCGTCGACTCGCCGGCTTGATTTTTCGAGTCTCGAAAGCGTCGTCGCGCATGAAAGTGAAGCGTCACGCCGGGGAATATTTAAGGACCGACGATGACCTCACCAGGTGAAGTGAAAGTTCCCTGGTTAGCTTCGGTTCGGCTCTCGGTTCCCTACAGCCGAGATGGCGGGAACAAAAAGGCACGGTCTCTTTCGGCACCCATAGTATACCCCGGAAATAAGCGCGCTCCAATGACGTCACGACCTTGGCCGATACCGTCAAGAACTCCGCAATTTTTCGGTTTGCAATCTACGTTCGTTTACAGAAAATTAGTACACGAATATTAGATCTTTAACTATTGAATTTGTTTTACTTTTTTAATAATACTGAAGCACATTTTCTAGAAACATATATGCATTCATTTACTTTCCATTGGAATAAAAAATATGATATATCCTACAAGCCAGTCATAAAAATGGTAATTAATAAGATAGCTTAATGATTACAGTTTCAGCAACGATCGGAATGATCGTTCCTGGAACGATTTAAAATATTCGAAAGGCGAAACAAGAGATAATCGCATCTGGTTAACGAGGAAACATCGCTCGAACTCGCAGACTCGGCTTCGCAATCCACCAACGACGGAAATCGAGTGGTTCACTTTCAGATCCTGTTGCACGTCTCGCGTTACTTTATCGGTATACCATTCGCCGTGAATCATACGAAAACTGCACCTGCCGTCGTTGCATATCGCGCTCTAGAAATCCTCCTATCGTGTATAGAGTCAAATAGAAATCGTCTCTTTCAATTTCAGTAAAGCATAAAGTCTTTATTTTACTATCGAAATAGAAATTACAAAATTCAAACTTGCAATTAATTAGGTGATCTGGTGATCAATTAAACTATTATTAAATGACATGATTTATTATTAGATAATAATGCACGATTAATTTACAATAAATATTTTTTAAATTTAAATTAACAATTGATAAACTGTCCATATTATCATGTCTTACAACATTTACGTTTATCGTGTGATGATATCCAACGAAAGGATACGTCGACAATGCGGCAATTTGCCTCTACATGAATAGAAAATTATACGAATCAATACATTAATGTTGATTAACGATGGCAAATAATCAAGCGAGTGCATCTTCGCTCGTCCAATTAATTTGCGATTGACGGGCAGTTGATCGATTTCCGGGTTTTCGATACACCTGTCTGTGTCGAAGCGAAAGCTCTCGCCAGAAGAACGAGTTCGATGCATAAATCACGGGGTCGGACTTTCTAGCCATTAGCGATGGCTCTAGCGAGCTGCTGTCTGCCTGGAGTCATCAACGACGTGCTCGATGATCTATTCGTCTCTCGAAAGATGAAAGCTTTAATATTTTGCAGTTTGAATGAAATATATCACTCCATAAAAAATAAGGAACGCTTTTCTTTTTACTCTTCGATTTTAGCTTTTTAGAGTTTTTATTCGAAAAGTATGGAATAGTAACAAGAATTGGACGATTTCTTGAAGTAAGCTTTATGCAAAAAGTGTGTAAAATTAGAAATGTTATCTGCGGAAGGAAGGCGCTTTCTGTTCTGTTTTACTCGCAGTAATTGCCATATCGAGTCGGTCTCAAGGATCATCGTGAAAGGATTGAAACATTACCCGCTCTTATCTGTCTGCCTTTCAGAATCTTTTCACCCTGAGATGACAACGCACTTTTCTTTAACTTGAATTAACTGTAACTCTTCCTGCAAGACGCATTACGCATAGTTCAGTTTTTTTTTTCGAATTAAAATCGTTACTCTTGCGAAAGCAAAATACTTCTTATCTCGTCTTGCACAAAGAATAATTATATCGATCTGTTCTCAAGGATCATTGTGAAAGGAGATTGAAATTATATCTGTCTACCTGTCTCTCTAGACAGATCCTGTCACCCCGATGAATTTTCCTGCACATTGAATTAATAAAACACATTGAATTTTCCTGCACATTAATAAAAAGAGCGAACTCGTTCTTCAAGATTTCTTCAAATCATCAACTACTTCTGAATAAAAACACTGTACTTGTCGAAGAACAGTGTCTCTTTCTCTTTGCTCTGCAAAAAAATTGTTACAAAAGGAAAATTGTGAAAGAGCCATTGTGAAAGGATTGAAATTGTTCGTCTATCTCTTTCATTATACTCTCCCCGACGATAGCGGAGTTTCTCTCAAAAGTAATTAACAAATTGGGGCAATTTAACCGCAATTCTTCAGAATTTCAAACGCGCAGGATTTTCAATGCTATTTTCCACAACGTGGGGTTTTTATTTGTCCCAAATTCTTGCTCCGACAGCAAACTCTTCTACAATGAATTATTAAACGATTCGATTAATCCTTTCCAAGATTTCAATCGCTCTATTTGCGGAGAAAAGAACGTCTTTTTAATTTCGAGGCATTTCCACCGTGATAGTTAGCTAGGGATCATTGTGAAAGGATCGAAACTCCACCTGCCTCTTTCGAAGGCCCCTCACCCCCGCGAGGAGAACAGTGGAGTTTCCTTTAACCGGTCGTTCGCGAAGTAGGGCGACCAGCCGCCGGTGACTCCGGCGAGCATTGAGATTTCAGTGTCTCGAAGGACAGCTGGTTCGCCAATGAGCCGATAGTGGTGTTCTGTATTGCATTCACGATGTTTATCGGTGTGGGTAAAGTAACCGCCAGCTGTAATGTCGATGGGATACCCATAGCTTCCTTATTATCGCAAGCGATACTTTTCAGTGATTTAAGACAGCGGCGAATACCCGGCTTTAAACAGAGTAGCAGAATACCTCGGCGGGTGTCCGCGCTTATCACGCGATACGACGCCGATGGAGAAGATGCGCTTCTCTCGACGGAGAGCACACATAAGCGTATACACACAGACGGACGAGTCGTTCGGTCGCACTTTCATCGTCCCACTTTCTCCGCGTTGTTCGGCACGCATCGTCGGACTGACCACACTCCGCGCGGTCTCGCGAGAGAGAGAGAACCTTTCGCACTTTGCCGCGGCACCTTCGTGTCTCCGATTCCGTCGTCCCGATCGATCGCACGATGTTAAAAGTAGAAAACGCGCGGACGAAATCCGAGAAAGTCCGGGGTTCGCATCCGTCTTTTACATTAGAACACGTCATCGCGTTCAAAAGGACAATGGCCCGAAAGGAAACCTGTCTCGCCGGCCAATTTGGGAAAGTTGCGATCGTCGCCGGCGATGATCGACTTTACGAATCGACGTTCACGGGTCGCGTTTCAAGTATCATGCTACGTAATTTTTTAATCAACAAATTTTTTTAATAATAATTATGCTGTAGATTTTATAATTTTTATACACTTTTTAAATAATTTTTGTAGTGAAAAATCTTATAGAAAAAAATCATTACATATTGATTGCTCCATTTTTAATTATATATCTTTGGAATTAAAGCTCAAATTAAAATTCTATTAATTTACCAGAGAATCGGTTAAGATTCTTTATCAGAATCGTAAAATTAAGATCATCTTTCTCTCTCTTTCTCATTATATCACCGAGTTTGTTAGGATATTTTATTGACATTACAACATTTTTAATTGTATTCCATTTGCATTACATCAGTGCTCGAATAAATCAAGAAAAGAAGTTGCATTGTGCAGCAGAGTTACTTCATTCTGTGACAATGCAACCGCAGTTTACGGTACTATTCCACGTCATCTTGTTAACGCTTAATCACGAGTACGGTACAGACTTTTTATTTTCGTGACGCGATTCGTATCAATGTCAATCGATACGAATGCGCGATGCCGATTATGGCGATTGCGTCGCATTACAATGCGCGCTGTCTTCGAACAGCGTCTTCGAACGCGCGGCACGTTATAGCGGTATTGAAGTCGCTGCACCGTGAGAATACAGTTACTGCGCTATATTCTCATGAATAATCGCTACAATTACGGTGTGAAGGGTGAGAAGAGCGCGAAACCACTGCCATTATGAAGATCGTCATGCTTACGTTGCTCTTCGCGAAAACACGCCGCCGTGCAGAAGCGCATTGATTCGAGCACGGCTATTATTTCTAAAACAGTCACTTAATTATAATCTGTTTCCTCACGACGAGGCGTGAGACGCATCGCGAAGAGAAAGAAACATTCTTCAAATTACGTCAGAATTTTAACAATAACAGATCTCAAATCTTTCTTCAAGAAGAAGCTTTATCCAATTTTCCGCTAATTACTTCGATTAACGCGATCTTTCTCATATTTATACGACGCAAGTCGGTATTTATGTTTTATTTTTTTTTTTTATAAACATCAGATATTCTGAAGGGCGGAATAGCGAAATCAGGCGAGTGGAACCGCGGCTGCAATTTATATCCGCGCAAATAAATGCACGCGGCGGAACGAAGAGCACGCAGTGCAATTAAAGTGCGATAATTGCGAGCGATGAGAAGAGTTCTACGCTCAACGCGTAAACGAAGTAAATCTGAATTTCGCGAATTGCGAACGTGCGCACTCTTGCACGATGCACTTTCTATTTCTAGTATATATGCGCGCCTTTCGCGCCGTATCAGATCGGCCGGCCGGTATCATAACGCGCTCTTGATGCGACCGTAAACGCGACCACTCGCCGTGACTTTCTATTCCGAGCATAACTCGCCGGTTCGATCACGCCTAATAAGAGAGGTCTAGGAGACGTCGATGTGTAGTTACCGCGAAATCACGAAGCGATTACTCGCCGGAGACGCGCAGTCAGGTGTAGAATGCCGCGAGGTCCTGTTATCCGATTTTCTCATTTAGCCGCGCTTCGCAAACGGCACGAAACAAAATGTGAGATTGGTAATTGCGATATTTTAGTAATGTCTTGCCTTAAAATTCGCCTCCTCGGCTATTATTCATGCGTAAGGTAGAAGTTGCGTATAGAAGAATACAGTCAGAAAAATGCGCAAAACGAAATCTTGCGCAGGGTCACAGTCTACTTGACGATATGAACTCAAAAATCCAGGAAGGAATGCATATCAAGGCCGATCTCTCAGTGCGCGTTTCCACCCGCTGCTCTCTCTCATTATCGTTCGGTAAACCCGCGGCTAATTAGAGCTCGAGCGTAAAGCAGCGAGCTCGCTGCTCGCGCTCGAAACGCGCCCGCGGTCGCGAGGAATCGAAGCCGATTTGAACGGTATTTTAGTCGCGTTGTCAACCTTCCGTGACAAGGAGCCATTAATTGCTGACGAGCTGAGCTACAAGCTACAATGCCACGAATAGCCCTCAATCGGAAATTACAATTAGCACAGTTGTCGGTTGAAAGAGAGCAATTTAAGATAGCAATACTAAAATTAGACACAGATCACTCGGAGTGCACTTGTTACGCGTAAAACAAAAGGATTTGTAGAGCAGAAAAGGGAAACAAAGATTAAGAATATAAAACAGTAGAGAATATAATTTTTACAATTTAGAAATACAGGTGCAAGATTCTAGGCTCTGAAAATTTTAAGATTTCCAATTTTTACTGTCTTAAAGTTGAAAAATCCCAAGCTTTCGGAATCATATTTTAAGCATCGCAGACTTAAAACTTGAATATTTCAAATTAACTAATGATTAATTATTCGACCAATTATTATGCAGACTGTCAGTTCAGCGACAATACACCGCCCATAATGTGGCTGGATCGGAATTGGGTGCTTCCGGACACCGAGCCCGTAGGAAGCATTGTTACCAGGGTTCGTGCCGAGGATAACGAACAGGACACGTTGAGTTACGGACTGGAACCAGGACAACCGCTTGGACACAATTACAATGGGGACGATAGTCCTCAGCCACCGTTACCCTTCTTCATCGACAACAGTACAGGCACCGTCGTCCTCAACGAGACTCTCAAAGGAAGAGTGAGTATTCCTCTCGACACATATAAATTGTAAAAATAGTCTCGACCCAAAGTTCACGCCTGTTTCAAATATTTGATTTTGATTTTGTAATATTTAAAATATATTTTTTTCAATAAACCGTAAAATAGCTTCTCAAATAATTCGTGCGCCTCTTTCTTTTTTAATCAAATGTATATTAGGTGTGTATGAATTATTCAACGATTACAAAATGTGCTTTAAGTCTTGCGTCATGTTTAATGTAAGAATTGCTAAATATATATTAATATTCTAAATATTACGGCATTATGTGTGTTACGTTGCTTGCGAGATATAAAGTTATAATGAGATTTGAACAAACCGGCTCTGCGGGAAAAATATATTTCGTAGAAAAAGGAGGAGCGCAATCGCGTCTTCGACAAAGGCATAGCTTGTGTGTATGTACTTATACGGCGTTCCTTGAGACGCTTGAATTACGCTTCTTGCTCATTCTTTCCAGGGAGGCCAGAACCTGTTCCTCTACGTGACCGTTTCTGACGGTCAGCTCACGGCGAAGACCGAGGTCTACGTCAACATCAAGAACACGTCGGCACCGAATCAGGGGAAAACAAGGTGCGTGATCGCGATGGCCTTTTCGATAACTTAATGCTCGGATTTTTTTTTTAATCAAAACAAGCAAACTGGCTTTTAAAACAAGTGGACACGGAAAATGCTCAGAATCATCGATTAATTTTTAACATTAGAAATTAAATTCGTGTTTCAATTTTTCTGCAAGAATTTTTACAATATAAATATAAGTAATTTTAACGAAATACGCGCAAAAATAAAAAATTGCTTTCTAACTGTTGATGTTTTCGTGCTCTAAAGAAATAGATAATAACTCTATTTCTTTAAGTTATCTAAATATGGATATTAGTTGAATACTAATTCTAAAATGTGGTTCGATAATATGCAAAATGTCAACTTTTATCACTTTAATGTACATTGTATTTTTATGGTTTTTTTTTTTTAATAATTCTTGGAGTCATATATATCCAAATTTATTTATTAAATATTGCCGCTAAAATTGTTTAATATTTAAGATCGAGAGATTATTTCTTTAAAAAATATGATTTATTGCATATAATTAGACGATTTATTTAAATTTACTAGAAATTTCTCACACTTATCTGCAAATATCTTTTCATAAAGAAAATTGTAATCAATATAAGTTTATAGAACACAGCAATTGATATTTTAATGAAAACTTTATTAAATTGAGCGAGTTTACGAAGTAACGTTTTCCGCATAAATGGCAATGAACAACGCGCGACCTTAAGGAGACCCGCTGGTCATCCGTTCTATTATTCATGCTCCACTTCGTTAACGACATCACGGACGGATTGAATAAAAATTGCAGGGTATAGAAAAATATTTGTTACAGAAGAATGGATTTCCTGCATAAAATACCGATAATATTCAATAGATAAAATGTAATAATTTTCGAGAAGAAAAGCTAAATAAATTTTAAGAAGTAGAGAAATTGTTGAAAAAAATTTTGTGCATAATTATGCTGTTATAAAATTAAAAGGGAAAAAAATTATATCTCACTTGCTTAATTTAGCCGTATAAAGTAGTTCATTCGATCGTTTATTCTCAACAGGACACCATTTCCAAGTCAACATGGCTCCGGCGGCCGGATACGACCTCCCCTGCTCGGTCTGCCAAATCTGCCGAATTTTCCTTCGCCCTTACCTCCTTTACCTCCCAAACAGTATTATCCCGAAACTACGAAACTGGAGCTGGAGAGGACGAAACCTAAAGAAAATGACAACAACGTCGGCACCGGCACAGTCAGCACCGCGACAGAAGAGAGCGTCCACGTGAACGAGGTGGAGGGTCCTGCGTTGAGCTCGAAAGTCGCACCCTCCGCCGTGCCACCCTCGCAGGACATGGCGATGACTCTGGTGCCAGTGGCAGCTGGGTGCGCCCTCATCGTTGGCCTCGGCATGGGCGCTTGGTCACTGAGAAACAGATTCTGCAGCAGCCGCAAATCCAAGGCAGACACGGTATACGCGAAATAAAATTAATATAAAGCGGAAGAAATAAAAATTACTTTTTATCCAGAAATAGAAGTAGGACTGACTTTGCAAATTGCTTTCATCGAAATAAAACGAGATACTTAAGACAGAATATTCGCGGGATTTTCAGAAAGAGCAGGCGTCAGTCAGCGTGTCTAATCTGTCCGACGATCCTTCTCTCGTGCTGAAGAGGTGGCGCAGTCCAAAAGCTCACAGCAATCGCTATCAGCCGTGGGAGAAAGAATCGCAAGCAGGCATTCAGAAACAGGAGGATAAGTGGGAGTTTCCCAGGCATAGATTGAAGGTAATCATCATCACACGCGGGCGTGAATAATTCACTTGCTAATTCGATAATTAATCCTCGAGCGTCGCGCTAAACAGAATAATCAATGAACTAATTAGCAAACTTAATTCCATTCGTTATTTTATCGAGTAAATAAATACCGATCAGTTCCGAGTAATCGGTAATTAATAAATTATCAATTCCTTCTCATTAATCGATCAATCCTTCGCAGGTCTTCAACATCCTCGGCGAGGGTTGCTTCGGGCAGGTGTGGAAGTGCGAGGCCCTGGACATCGACGGCAAGTCCGGCGCCACGATCGTGGCGGTGAAGACTCTGAAAGAGAATGCTACCGAACGAGAGCGGCTGGACCTCGCGCAGGAGTTGCGCGTCATGAAGAGCTTGGATCCTCATCCCAATGTCGTGCGGCTTCTGGGATGCTGCACCGAGCGCGAACCCATGTTCGTCATTCTGGAGTACGTGAGCGGTGGCAAGCTGCAGAGCTTTCTCCGGGCTTCCAGAGAAGAGAGGAATCACGGAGGAGCGGGATTGACTTCCAGAGATCTCACCGGATTTGTGTATCAGGTTTGTGAACAATCGAATTATCTAAAATTCGTGGCCAAGCGAAATCAACTCCAATTGTTTACGTTCGTCTCCATTTATTCGCAGATCGCCAAAGGCATGGAGTATCTGGCGTCGAAGGGTATCATTCACAGAGATCTGGCAGCCAGGAACATTCTGATAGACGAGAATCGCGCGTGCAAGGTCGCGGACTTCGGCTTCGCCAGAGATGTGGCGGCTAGTCAAATTTACGAGAGAAAATCGGAGGGTAGATTGCCGATCAGATGGATGGCGCCCGAGAGTTTGTACGACAATATATTTTCCGTCAAGTCCGACATCTGGAGCTTCGGCGTCTTGATCTGGGAGATCGTAACGTTAGGATCGACGCCGTATCCCGGACTCGCTGCTGCAGAGGTATAAATATAGAATGTTAATCTTTATAATTGAATTCTTATAAATGAAATTTACATTAATTAAGTAAACAATAGATCAATAAAAATTAAATATATGTAATTAGCTAAGAATATACGTATGAAATACTAGACGGAATATTTGCGTTTGCAGGTGATGCGACGAATCAAAGAGGGCTATCGATTGGACAGGCCTGAGCATTGTAAGAGAGAACTCTACAATATTATGTATTATTGTTGGGACAAGGATCCGGCATGTAGGCCGTCCTTCGCCGAGCTCGTTAACTTGACCGAAGGCCTGCTGCTCGACGAAACGGACTATATCGAGCTTGACAGGTTTCCGGATCACTCATATTACAACGTGCTCAATCTCAGCGGGGAAAAATTGTGAAGCTCGTGTGGTGATCATTAATGTTAACAATAATTGAATTTTGCATATATAAGTCACCGTACGCGCTTCTGTAATGACATTATTATTTAATTAGCGAGCTTCGTCACGAGGAATCGGATGAAAAGTTTTAAATTATTCGATCAATTGTCCAGCGATTTTTAATCTTTTTAACCAATGAGAACTATTGTATTATATCGTTGATATTGATGATTGAATTATATATCGTTGATAAAAAATTAATATTGCATTTTACAATAATGTGTTTAACGAATGTATTCGAGAATGATTCGAGAATGATTCGAGACAGTGAACTTTGAATCTTTCCATTCTCTACAACATAAGACTGTTTGATCGTTCTGTTAAATACTCACATGCGTTAAATACTCACGTGTGTATAAATACAAGTATGCGGTTTAAGAACAAGTTATTTAATCTAAATGTGACGTCACAAGTCGAAGGAAAGTATTAGAAAAAGATACTTCAATCACTTCATTCGTGTCTAGACATGAAATTGTATATATGTATTAAGTTAAATATTGTTGTAAGTTATTTTGTACATTATCTGTTGTAAGAATAAATAGCTGTACAATTGATAATGCTGTATAATTTAATTGCATTTTAATGAATGATATAAACCTATTTTGCAATAAGATATATTTTATCTGATATCTTTCTGATCTATCTTTGATGATTAATAATTAATAATTATTCCCAGTGAAAATAATTATTTTCATAAAGTGTCCAAGAAGTGTTTACTGCTCACAATCGGAAGAAAACGTGGCGCTTTTCTTCGAAAGTATGTTCGAAAGACGTTCTATAATCGCGCTCGAATAAATTTTTACTGTGTCGGCATCTAGCAATAATATATAAATACTAGAACACGAATATATCTATTGGCTGTTAGTAATTAACAAAGTGTTTTTTAACTTTTAATTTAGCATAAGACATCGTAAGATGTCGACACTAAAAGTTTATATCTTGTCCCGTAAGATAGAGTGAGATATTAATTTGCAAACAAACCATCGTTCTCAGCACATTTCTAACATTCATTTTCTGAATATTATACCAAGAATATATACTAAGAAATATTAAAATATACCAGTAAAGCTGACGAATTACACTGGAAAGTGCTGAACCAAATAATGAGAGACCGTTAATTCCCTACGCGATTCTTATTTAATCGTCGATTGTGGCAGAACTGGGCAACAGAGAAACGGAAAAACGGGGAAGAACCGTAAAGGCTAATTTTGTGACGAATATTTCGTTTGCCGGTGTGTCGAAACATTGTTATTTTTCTGAAAATTTCAAGTCCAAAACGAGAAATCATCATGGTGGAGGAAATACGAGTTTTGGTAAAGTATTGTATACCTCGATATTTTTTATATTGTTATTAACGTAATTTTTTTCTATACGTCTTATCGTTATATCAGTATAGTGAATCATTCATATCTTATCAGTGGTTTAATTTGTTACATTGATACGCATTTAACGACAAATAAATATTTGAAATATGAAAATAAAATAAATATATTTTAATAATATAACACTGTTCTGAAGGTAGTGAACTCTACAAACAATACAAGCTTGAAATCTTGGCTTTGTTGTAGTATTCAGTTTGAATTAATTTTTCAAGTATTGCATATAAAAAAAATGAAATCAAATATATTGCATGATAATTTATTACATTGAATAATGAATGTATATTTCATGATTTTAATTGGTTCACAGTGGTGTGATGCACTTGAGGAATTGCTTCAGTGTCCTGTATGCTTGGATACAACACAGGGGATAAAATATCAATGTATAAATGGACATCATATATGTTCTCAATGTAAGATGCAATTGCAGATATGTCCTGTGTGCAAATCCAATTTTATTACTACAAGAAATCTAGCAGTGGAACAAATTACAGCCAAGCTACAAGATATAAAGGTAGAACTTTCCTTCTCCCATTTAATACAACAATAATAATAATAATAAAATGTGAGAATAACATAATATCTAGGTCTGAGTCAGATATTTATTTTGTATAAAATGACCAGTTGGATGATAAACAGAAACTATGAATATTTTCAGCTGTCCTTGCTGCATCCATATCATGCAATAAATAGAAGAGTTCTGAAAGACAAGATTTGTGCAGCGACTCAAACTGATGATACTTACATGCCTTCCACATCTTCTGGATGTCAAACTGAGCCTTTAAATCTAATGAAACCGAAAAAAAATGAAGAAAGGCTAGCGATAAGCTTGGCACCTAGAGTAGGAAAAGGATTGTATCCATGCAAAATTGGCTCCTGTATTATGGAGCTACCGCATGGAAGAATCATTGGTCACTTGAGATATCATCATAAAGAGATGTTTTATGAGGTACTTCTTATTAAACTTTACAGCTTATACTGGAACATATTTCATTTTTACGATTGAGTTTTCCAAAATCAACTTGAAATAATTACACTAATTTGGATTTACATGATTAATTACAGTGTAATACAAAAGATGGTATGTTTCAAAAGACATGGAACTTGGAGTATGTTTTGAATCGAGATTACGATTATGCCTTTCATATCAAAGACATGGGTTTGTTCTTTTTGAATATTTCCATCAATTCAGTGGGCGGTTTAGAAGGTTCTGTACAAATCGTCAATTGCACCGCTGTGGGCAAGCAGTTCACGTACACATTAGAGATACTTCACGTATACAATAAATACCAAAATGTTCATTACACTGGCCCGGTAAGACTAAATCTAGTGCTGTTTATATTCAAGTGACTTGCATTTTCTTCATATTTTCAAGTTTATATAATTTTGGAGTAATTGTAAAATATCATTGGAAAAAATTTCTAAAGAATTATTTTCACCGTTTAATATGCAGTAATAATAATGATAAATATGTTAAAATATTAAATTCATAATATATTTAACTTATATTTTCAAACAGGTAAAATCATGCAGAGTACGAAGAGACTGTCTTGGTAATGAATGTTTGCGCATACATGAGAACAATATGCGCTTCATAGTGGACATAAGAAACAATAACTTCTTTCGCTGCAACCTGATCATAAAACGCAGGGTTGATTACAGAGCAATCGCCGCACAAGACAATCAGGTGCCTGTACCTATTGAAGATCTTGAAGACTTACTTAATTAAAGAAGCGATTACGTTATAGTGAGTTATTAGAGCCCTGATGAATAACATGGCATGGCGATTGACTACTCGCTAAGCGCCACTGAATATCGAGCAAGAGGTAGCAATAGAATTAAGAAAATTGTAATTCGCCATTGCTGTCTCTTGCTTAGTATTGAATAACGTTCCAAACAGTCAAGTCTAGTGCCGTGAGACGACATTCATCCGGGCTCTAAATGTATTAAAAAAAAAAAAAAGGTACATATGCATGGATCTTCGGATTCAATGGCAAAACTATGTACTTTATTGACTGTTCATATAATTTAAGTTCCTACCTTTTAATTATTTAACATAAAATAATATTTTAAGAATTTGTTGAAATATGCATGTATCTTTAGACCATTTTCATGACTCGCAATACAATGCTGCCTAATTGAAGACAAATTAGATGGATAAAGCTTGAAGAATTTTGATTTTATTGCGGATTGCAGACAGATGCAATTAGATGCAAATAGTCCACGGATTCAATTGTATTTAGTTTACAGCCACAATTAGGTAGTTCTGTGTTGAAAAGGAAGGCAAAAGAAAACATTAATCGCCTGTATATTTTTATCCGGAACATTTTCTATATATTCTCTCAGTAAAATATAATATCTTGATGCGGAATGAGAAATTTTTTAAGAACTCCATCGCGACGAAATGAAGCAATCGCTTCGTGATATACATGTATTTTAGTCACATGTGTGATACAACTTACATGTAATATTATGGAAAGAAAATCTCTGTTAATGAAATATTTTTGTAAGTGAAATAAAGTCATTATGTTAAAAAAAAAAAAAAAAGAAAAACAAATGTTTAACCATAATTACCGTTCGTCCATCTAATTTCCAAGTACAGAGTTTCGGCACTCGAGTTGCCGGCAAAATCAGGACGAAACTACGCGCGTCGCTGATAACATAGACAATGTGATTCCATAAATCATACTTGCGTGCAGTTTATTGTGAATCTTCGAAAAACTTCACCAAAAAAAAAATCGCGCGCGCATCTCGCTTCGTAATTAGCGTCTACGTTTCCCTTAAATTTCCTGCGCACTAATTAACATATGCTAAGAGCTACTGCACCTTGCACCTCTAACAACTTTTTTTTCTTGTTGTCTGTCTACTTATTCCCATACGAATTAAATTGAATCGCCGTTCGGTAATCGTTTGCTTCTGGTTCTTGCCTTTGTTTAATTTGCAAGAAATCCACTCCAAAAGTCGCGCAATGTGTATTCCGGATTCTTTCGCGGATCTCACATGTGCAATTGGAAAATTAATGAAGATTATATTACCCTCGCGCATATCATAATGCCATGAGGACGACCTTGCGCCTCAGTCGACCTCATTTATACGCTCATTCTACGTATTCTTTTGAGAATTTCGCACCTCTCTCGGACAAATAGGTAATTTTTCGCCGTCGCGCACGCTTGTGGTTATTTAAATCGACATACGCTCAACGCGAAATTACACTCTGCTTGATCTCCTCGACGGATGGTCTGCGCGTCTCTTCAAGTGGTGCCGCCTTCGCGCAGCGATTTCTGTTGCTCCAAAAGTCGTTCTAGCGGGGAGGGACCCGGTCCGGACCACAGAGATTGCTGATGAAGCCGCGTTTTCATCTGATCTTGACTGGCGGAGCTTGAATTGATGGGCGTACTAACAGTGCTCCATGTGTTGCCGCTGAACAAGGAATAAGTGTTGCCGGTGGTCACAGGTTGGGATGGCTTCTGCTCGAGCTAAATAAAATACCAAGAAAATGTTATTATCCAATTCTTCA